CTGGAGATTCCTCTTGCATATGGTGGAATCCTCAGTGACCTCATAGCAGCTCTATACCTTTGCTTCTATCCCCCACCCCTTGCAGGAGATGTAATTGGGGTAAATGAGCAATCTGACTAGCTAGCTGCCAGAATGGTCCTATAGGTCTGTGAGCAACCAGGCATAAATTAGAGCTGCCTTTGCCCTGCTCTAACTTGTGTTCCCAGATTTGATTACCTTAAAAGTAGCTTATAGACACCTTTGGCACCATCCCCTGTGTCCTTTCCATGGTATGGTATTGCTACCCTTACTCCTGTGTTGCTGCTGGTGATGGCACTGCATTCAGAGCTGGGAACCCAGCCAGCAGCTGCCGCTTTCCGGCCACCCAGCTCTGAAGGCAGCGCAGAAGTAAGGCTGGCAATATAAAACAAAAACAACAACAACAAACCCCCCCCGCCCCGGTCCCTCTGAAAATTCACATTAATGATCTTAAATATGTATCCAAATAATTGCTACTAGCCCTCATATAGCGCTTTTCATCCTAGCTTGAGACACTGCAAAGGGAGTTCATTTTTAGAGCGTGGTGCCCAACACTTTCTGAAAATCAGGCCTCTCTGCACAATGTAGCATAAGGTGAAATGATGGGAATAGGTAAATATGGAGTACTTATAAAGCAGTTCACTCTATTTAAACACTGAACAATATACTTCTGAGGCAATCTCTTCATAAAAGAGAGGGAGAATGATATCTGAGGTTTATTTTTTGTGAAAAGCATGAACTGTAAATAGGTCTTTGTGCAAAATGTCAGCTGCATTGCGGAGAAGTAAATGATATTGACTTGATAACCCATGATAAATAATACTAAAAATGAGACCACTTTATGCAGCTGCAGGTGTGTTTGTGTACATTTATGCAGCTATGGAAAAGACCCAGAAAAGCAATAATGAATAGACTAACAGCAAACTGAGTTTATTTCAACTAATGACAGTAGTAGTCAATCAGTAATAAATCATGATCATCCGCAATTTGTCATGTTCCATGCCAAAAGGGAAGTTGATGTTGGACCTCATTCCTTACTGTGTTCCTTGTGTAGTCATTTACACATACAAAGTGGGTGTGAAGGGCTACTAAAATCAGAATGTTTTACACCAACTGTGCACAGGTGCAAGTGGCTGAAAAATGTATAAGACAGCAGGAAATCAAGCCTCCAAGATTTAAAAAGCAGTAACTTGAGGAAGATTGATATTGATTCCAGTTCATCCTTAGTATGCATCCAGCAGATCTTTGAGATTGTGCTGTTTAGAGATCCTCTTACCACAGTGATGGATAGCTCTGTCTTTAGCAACTGTGTCCTAGGACCTACATAATGACTCTCTTGGTAGCTTGCTCACCATTATATTTTCTGTTTCTATGTATATGTGTCCAGATCAATGTACAGCTGATATACAATACATCTAATTGCTTGGTTTTTAATTACCTGATAGGCTACATCTCTTTGAATACTTTCAACTGAGCACAAGAGACAGAGAACTCTACCATATTAAATGTTGAGTATGACAAAGGAGAACCACACAAACTCTTTGTCTTGCATTCTGAACTGAACATGAGTTTACAGAATCCAAAAGCTGACTAGCTACCAAACAATTAGCTTTAATTTCACTTTACTTTGTAGCTTGTTCACACATGTCTTTTAGGTTTCAAGAAAGATAAATATAATTCTTAATGGACATGGGGCATCTGCATTAATGCCAAATGCATTCACTATCATCATTGTGATTACAGTGGGTACTTTGTGAATTAATAATTACAGGACACTTCAGATAAAGTATTACCAGTGTAATTAAGGCCATGCTAGTTTGCAAAATTCCAGCCCGTACATTTTGAATAATTAAAAAGAGAAAGAGAAACTTCTAGCTATCTGAAAAGTTTTGTGGCAGGATGAATACATTTTTGTATTATTTAATGGATACTAATAAAAATCTCAATTAAAAGTTAATCGGAAAGGAGGAGCTGACTTGTTTTTTGTACAGACCTAAACTGTAGCAGTGTACAAGAATAAACTTCCTTCGCAAAAGTCCACTGCATTGGAAAAGGCATTGAAAACTGGCTATGCTGAAAACTCCATGTGAGTTCCAAGGCCCTAGCTGGGGCTGTCAACCCTCCAGGATTGTCCTGGAGTCTCCAGGAATTAAAGATTAATCTTTAATTAAAGATTATGTCATGTGATGAAATCTCCAGGAATTTGTCCAACCAAAGTTGGCAACCCTAACCCTAGCATATATTTCATTCATTGGTTGGTTGTTTAGGTAGCAATCAAGGGGATACCAGACTGTTTCTTAACATTTTATTTTGGATAAATGTCTTTTAACTTTAGATTTAGTCACAGCAACTGTCACAGTAGCAGAGCTAGCTGCATCTCTGCCTGTTTTCTGAGTGCATCAACTTTAGGTGTTCAGCCTCTAGTCCTTACCTGTCTGGGGTGGAATCATGTGATTCTTCCACTCTTAGGTTTTGTCTACACTACATCATTTACAGCGGTGCAGCTGCACCGATGCAATTTGCGCTGGTGAAGACGCTCTAAGCCAACTGGAAAGAGCTCTCCCGTTGGCTTAATAACGCCTGCCTCTGCAAGAGGCGGTAGCTATGTTGGTGAGAGAAGCTCTCCTGCCTGCATGGCATTGTCCACACCGGCACGTAGGTCTGTATAACTTACGTCGCTCAGGGGTGTGGATTATTCACACCCCTGAGCAACATAAGTTATACCGAAGTAATTTGTAATGTAGACATAGCCTTAGGCCAATGACCCAAGAACGCTGCCCCATCTTGAACCAGCCACTTATCACCCTGCAGGTACAACTGAGTTTTAGGCACCTACTTTTTTCCCCTTGAGGAACTTGCAACCAACAGCCTCTTTAAAATAAAATGGTTTTATTTAGTGGTTGGAACAAAGCATTAGAGAAAAAAGGAGTTTAAAATCAAAAACAACTGAGACACATTTAATCTAATCTTACGCTTCACTACAAACTAAATTAGATAGAGCTGAAGTTACAGGAACAGAATAGAACAAATTAATATTCTCCTAACCAGCCCAGATCTTCCTGTGTGTATGTGGGAGTTTCAGTCTGGCTCTCTCCCTGTTCAAATTGTTTTTCTCTGGTCAGCAGGAGCATCCGTTAGGGCCTATCCAGGAGGATGTCCCATGACAGCTGCTCCACTGTTTGGCCAATTATACCCATTCAGTCTCAATGGGTTTAAATCATGGGCCTAATGGCTGTATCTCTCCTGTGGCTGAGCGTGTTGGAACTGTCTGATCCCCTTTATTAGTCTAACACGCCATCTTAGAAGTCAATTGCATTTTGGTTACAGACCAAAATAGGCATTTAATGCAGCCACTTATGGCCCTATATTGTCACAGTTACGTACCTAGCATCAGAAGAAAGGACTTGTAAGTAATAGAAATTCAGATTCTCTGACTAGCTGTTTTGAAGGTGACTCAAACTTTGAAAAGTTGCCCAACCTTTAGGCATCTTGGGCCTGATTTTCAGAGGTGCTGAGCAGGGCAGCTCCCAGTAATGGCAGCTGAATTGTGAATGCTCAGCACCTCTGAGATTCAGGCCTAAGGTGTTTCAGTCAGACACCCAAAACCACAAGCAGCCCAAATCAGAGGCCACTTTAGAAAGTGTTGAACTTGGTATCTTCTGATGTTATGGATCTGTAGGGTTGTTAGTTTGGTGCTTAGCCTGTGTCGATTGCATATCAAATGTTTCTCAAATGTTAAAGTTTTTATCACCATCTAATTTGCACTATATTCTATATTTTAAATGTAGAGCTATAGCACATGATGAATGAACTTTAGATTTGGCCTTTTCCACCCTTAAAGTCCTAAGTGAAGAGAGAGCATCCCAAATGCATGACCAGTGTATATTTGCTTCTGCTACATGGCATCAGAAATCCTTAAAAGTAAAGGAAAGTGTATTTATTTCAGTCTAAAACCGTTAAAACCAATGCAGAGACTTGAAAGTGTTTCCAAATTTATTGCCATCACTAAGTGCCATGAACATTTATGTCACTCAAGTATCAGAGGGGTAGCCGTGTTAGTCTGGATCTGTAAAAGCAGCAAAGAGTCCTGTGGCACCTTATAGACTAACAGACGTATTGGAGCATGAGCTTTCGTGGGTGAATACCCACTTCGTCGGATGCATGTCATGCTTGACAACATGACTAGTATTCCAGCTTTAAGAAGGAGACTAAGTGTATGGCTAAATGGTTTCTGGTAAGAAGCTACTTAGCTATAATAGAATACTGTAAGAAAAATGCTTCCAGGGCTTCCTTGATTTCTATTCAGCTTTACATTGTTTTTTATATTTATATGGGTGAATACCCACTTCGTCGGATGCATGTCATGCATCCGACGAAGTGAGTATTCACCCATGAAAGCTCATGCTCCAATACGTCTGTTAGTCTATAAGGTGCCACAGGACTCTTTGCTGCATTTATGTCACTGTATACTATGAAATATAAATAAGAATGTAAAGCTGAATAGAAATCAAGGAAGCCCTGGAAGCATTTTTCTTACAGTATTCTATTACAGCTAAGTAGCTTCTTACCAGAAACCATTTAGCCGTACATTTAGTCTCCTTCTTAAAGCTGGAATACTAGTCATGTTGTCAAGCATATTTTATAGTAATACTTGAGGATATTTTCAACTATGTCTCTTTATGAAAATTATCCCTCTCTTCTGTTTTTGAGTTTTGTTTTCTGCTTTTAAACTTTTTGGAGGATCAGGACATGTTACTGTCTATGCTGAACTTTTGTTCCTGAAAAATATTTTTTTTGAAAAGTCTATGGGCTTCTGATTCTCTTCTTACATAGCATTGTAAATCAGGAGGAACTCCATGGATGTGAATGGAGTTTCATTGCTGTAAGTGAGATCCGAATGAAACCCTATAGTTTCCAAGCCTAGGTGTTAAGTTTCAAAATGATAGTACCATTGATTTTCTTTTGACTCTAATTAATTTCAGGTGCTCAACCTGTTCCTTGCCTTGCTACTGAGTTCTTTTTGTGCTGACAACCTTTCAGCACCGGATGAAGATGGAGAGATGAACAATCTACAGCTCGCTTTTGCTCGGATCAACAGGGGGCTTCAGTATGTGAAAAACACAACATGGGATTTCTGTTGTAATTTACTTAGGCATCCGAAGACGACAGCTGAAAAGAAGGCAATGATTAAACTTGCTGCCCAGAACACAGGTGTCCTTCACAACTATGTGAATAGCCATACCACTGCAGAGATTGGTAAAGATGTGGAGAACCACAAAGAGAACCATGTTGATGATGGGACTGACAAAAATGGGCAGAAACTCCCAGTGATTAGTGACAATGATGATTTTCTGACCAACCCTGACCTGTCCATCTGTGTTCCCATTGCTGTGGGGGAGTCTGATATTGAAGATCAAGAAGATGATGAGGAGCAGAGCACATTCACAGAAATGGAACAGGTAGGGAGCCAAAATGTTTGTTTGATAGCAGTAATTTATTGAGAGGACATCCATTTCCACGTCCAACTCTACATCCATGGCTCATAATGCAAACATTTAAGACCAAATCCTGCTTTGGATATGTACTTGCCACTCTCATTAACTTCAGTAGAAGTTACATGTGCATATCCAAGGGCAAAATTCAGCCTTTAACAAAGGGACGTCTCCTATCATTGTATGCTTTCGCTATGTCTAAATGAATTATATTAACAAGAGTAACTAAATTCCCTCCCACATCCAGCCCCAGTTCTCCTTTAGTTCAAATCACAAGAGAGGGCCCTTAGGTTCTCTGACAATTTAAAATGAAAGGTTCCATACATCAGGAGGGGAAAGTGGCTTGATTTGGTTTATGTAGCAGAACTTCAGCCCCAAGTAGTTCTGTTTAAAGGGTCTGAACCATGCAAATGCTAATGTGACCATATGTAGGAGCACGTAGTGGCTGATTTAGGAAGCATGTTTTCGAGAAAGGCAAAAAAACAAGTTAGTAACATGCCTTAGTTTGACACTGTAAACGTACTTATTCTACAGAGCTCTCAATAGAGCTGGTTGGAAAATTCTGAATGTTTTGAAATTTTGATGAAAAACAGAGAAAAATAATTCACAACAAATCTTCTTCCCCCCCTTTTTGAACCGCTCTACCTCTCCATTTCATGGCTCAGAGTTAATCAGAGTGCAACCAAAGCCATTAGTTCTGATCCAGCACCCATTGAGGTCAATGGAAACCCATGGACTTCAGTGGTCTCTTTGCATCAAGATGAAGTTCTTTTGGGTCTCAGAGATGTAAGGAAGAATGTTCAAATACTAGCACTATTCTTAGGGATGTGTTATGTGAAGAAAATATAACCAAATAACCATGTAGAGAGTCACAAATAGATAAATGTTAACCTCTAATGCTTCACTATGGGAAAGCTTATTACACGCTGTCACCAGCCAGTATTGCCATATTGATTGATGAACTGATAAAAGAGAAGATGGAGAACTAGAACTCTAAATGTTATCAAGCCATGTCATCCAAATAGACACCAGGATAATGAAATATGCAGTCAGAAAATATTTGGAAATATCTTTAAAGGGTTGTTTTTCTTTTACTTTATTTAAGGGACGTGTATTAAAATCTTCAGTTTCAGTGAAGGTGGCATGGAAAGTAAAGTAAATTAAATCTAAACCTGAGTGTGACTATTTGTTGTTTTGGCTTTGTGCATTTTGGCTGTATTCTTAATAGTAGGTGCGTTGTTTAAGCTCTAATAGGTCCTGTCAGTTGCTCCCTAGTTGTAGCTAAAAGAAGGCAAGTAAGCATACATAAAACAAATGTGTGATAGTTGCTAAATAGAATGATTGCTACTGACAATGTTTGTGTTCTCTTTGAAATCTCTTCCCCCTCCCCCATAATAGTTGAATACGGGCAGAGTACCTTGTAAGGTAAACCCTAAATACAGTGGCTTAGAGTATGGTGGCTTTGTTATTATTGTTTAATCTGACATTACTGATTGGCTAAAATTCATATTATTTTTCTGGAGATAGAATCTATTTCTAGCTGAGATTTGGAAAAAAAGTTTCTTGTCTTTGTACATCAGTTCAAGACGGGGGTTTGTAGTACATCGTTAAATACTCTTGTTTGCTCATCAGATGAACAAAAAAGCATATGTTCATTGACCCTTCACCTAGAAATATATCTAGTACTATATGCCATGCTTTTCAAGCTAATAAATAATAGTGGGTATAGTCACAACTTAAAATATAGTCTCTTCTCATTGGAGCTTGCTGAAGTTTCACAACAGGATCTGAGGAAAAAGTACAAAAACATTAATTTCCAGTATAGTAAGACTACTGCACTGCATTTTTACACATTCATGTAATTATTGACCTGTCTCGTATAGGTAGGTACTAGTTCATTTCATGTTATTGTAGCAAGAAAATGTAGAATCAGAATTTTACTGATTCGTATTAGAGCTGGTTGGAAAATGGAATTTCCATCCTGCAGGAAATTTTACTACATGCCCAAAAGCCAGAATACCACAATCGAGGAAGAAGGCCATTTTGGTTAAAAAAAAAAAGTGACTTGCTTTAGAGGGGACCGTACAGCAGCTATAATAAATATATATATAATAAAAAAGAAAGGAGAAGTTGATAGTAATGAATATAAATCAGAAGTTAGGAATTGCAGAAAATTGATAAGGGAACCCAAGGGACGCAAGTAGAAATCTATGCCTAGTTGAGTTAAGGACAATAAAAAGGAGTTTTTTAAATATATTGGGAACAAAAAGTATCCTGACAATGGTATTGGTCCATTACTAGATAGAAATGGTAGAATTATCAGTAATAATGCAGAAAAGGCAGAAATGTTCAATAAATATTTCTGTTATGTATTTGGGGAAAAATAGATGATATAGTCTCGTCAAATGGCAATGATAACATTCTTTGCATTCCACTAGTATCTCTAGAGAACATTAAACAGAAACTACTACTGTTAGACATTTTTAAATCAGTAGGTCCCAATAACTTGCATCCAAGAATTTTAAAAGAGCTGGCTGAGGAGCTCACTGGACCATTAATGTTAATTTTCAGTTAGTTTTGGAGCAATGAGGAAGTTCCAGAAGACTGGAAGAAAGCCAATGTACTGATTTTTTTAAAGGGTAACTGAAATGACCTTGGTAACTATAGGCCTGTCAGCCTGACATTGATCCTGGGAAAGATAATGAAGCAGCTGATATGGGACCCAATTAATAAAGAATTAAAGGGGGGTAATGTAATTAATGCTAATCAACATGGGTTTATGGAAAATAGATCCTGTCAAACTAACTTGATATCTTTTTTTTTTATGAGATTACAAGTTTGGTTGATAAAGATAAAAGTATTGCCATGATATACTTAGACTTCTGTAAACTAGTACAATATAAATTTAACATGGCACACGTTAAATGGGTAAAAACTGGCTAACCGATAGGTTTCAATAGAATTGAAAAGGCGGAATTGTTATTAAGCAGGTGTGTTTCTAGTGGGGTCCCTCAAGAATTGGTTCCTGGCCCTATGCTATTTAATATTTTTATCAGTGTGCTTGAAGATAACTTAAATAATTACTGATAAAGTTTACAGATGACACACAAATTGGTGGAGTGGTAAATAAGGAAGAGGACAGGTCATTGATACAGAGCAGAGATTCAGCATAACTCATTGCTTCATACGCTGGGTGCAAGCAAACTATGAGTTCTAATATGGCTAAATGTAAATGTATACATGTGGGAACAAAGAATATAGGCCATACTTACACAGTGGGGGACTTTATCTTAGGAAGTAATGACTCTGAAAAAGATTTGAGGGTTGTGGTGGATAATCTGCTGAACGTGAGCTCCCAGTGTGATACTGTGGCCAAAAGAAGTAATGTGATTAAATAAACAGGAGAATCTCGAATAGGAGTAGAGAGGTTATACAGGAGTGATAGACTCAAGGAGTTCAGTCTATTTAGCTTAACAAAGATAAGGTTAAAGGGTGACTTTGTTAGACTACAAGTATCTACCCAGGGAACAAATATATAATAATGGGCTTTTCAATCTAGCAGAGAAAGGTATAACACAATCCAATGGCTGGAAGTTGAAGCTAAACAAATTCAGATTGGGGGGAAAAACCACAATTTTTTAACAGTAAGGGTAATTAACCATTGGAACAATTTATCAAGACGTGTGGTGGATTCTGTATCACTGACCATTTTTAAATCAAGACTGGATGTTTTTCTAAAAGATCTGCTCTAGGAATAGAGGGAAGGTCTCTGGCCTGTGTTATACAGGAGGTCAGACTAGATGATTACAATGGATCCTTCTGGCCTTAGAATCTATTAATCCATGACACATTTTGTTTTGATAATGTTAAAATGTTTCATGTCAAAGCATTATAATATTATATATGATATATTATATTAAATATGTACATAACAACAATAATATAATATAAAAGTCTAAGCAAAACAAGAAAGTCAAAATACTCTATTTTGAAATATTCTATTTTGATTTCAAACTGTTTCAGATTTTTTCAGATAAAAATTTCAATGAAATTGGCACATTGCTGGAAAACATTTTGATTTTGACAAAATGACCTTTTCCAATGGAAAACTGTTCCTTCTATATTTTGTTGACCACTCCAATACTTATATTCTGTAATGGTATACCAAGTGTTTGTATAATTCCTCAATGATCTGATGTTGTTCAGAGGTTTGCATAGATTCATAGTATACAGATAGGTTGACAGTTTTGCAACCTGAAATGTAATTCAAATTATTTTTCAAGACTAGTGTCCACATTACAATAAATGGGATTGGAAGAAGTCAGGAAAGAAATTAGTTAACTTTCTCTACAATAGATACACTGCTTTGAGTCATGATAGACTAGGTAACTACTCTTCTCCTTTGTAAAGTCTAGTAACATAAAAGAAAAGAGTTCAACAGTAGAACTGTAGATAACTATCTGTGTTTATTTGGTAATCTTTCCATTTGATTTTGCTAATTTGGGGCACAATTCTCGTGAGTCCAGAGAGCCACCATGAAGCCTAGGCACTGCGTAAGCCCTAAATTTCACTATTGGTCAAGGATAAAATTCTGGCATTTCCTGCTAGGGTGACCAGCTGTCCCGATTTTATAGGGACAGTCCTGATTTTGGGGTCCTTTTCTTATATAGGCTCCTGTTACCCCCCACCTTCTGTTCCGATTTTTCACATTTGCTGTCTGGTCACCCTATTTCCTGCCTGTGGACATAATTTTTTTATTGGAAAAAATCAAACTCTACCTTAGGACAATATGCAAAAATATTCACATATTTCCTGTTATCCCAATTTTTTTTAAGTTTTACAGAAAAATTGTGCAAGTTTGTGGAGAAATGAGCTTTTGATGATGATTTGGCAGGTTTTTGGGATGTCATAGAATCATAGACGATTAGGGTTGGAAGAGCCCTCAGGAGGTCATCTAGTCCAACCCCCTGCTCAAATCAGGA